TTAATATTATTATAATTATGATGAAGCGTTCGTTCACGTCGAAAGCGCAAAAAAGAAATTAATATGCTTAGAAACAACGAAGAACTTTTTAAAATGAAAGTTTTCTTCTACTTTCACTCACAAAAAGGCCCAAAAACAGTGGTCAGATATTGCTGAAACTTTAAATGGTTTAATTAATGTTGTCGCGGATGGTTTACAATTTCTGCAGCTTGCAAATTATTCATTATATTTAGATTTAATAATAAATTATTTGGATCCATTACAAATTTCAAATGATTACGCACCTTCAAACAGTGAATGAGTGAAGTGACAATTTGCACATGAGCATGAGATGACATTCGGATTCAAACTATTCGGAGAAAACGCCAATTCCCCCGACAAAACCCTGTGGAATTATTTCTCTTGATATCTAGAGAAAATATTCCACAAGAAAATTTCAAAAATCACATTATCTGTGTGTCAAGAGAAAATGACGTAATTTTCTTTAATGAACTAACTCTCCTGTTTTCAAAAATCAAGCCCCTGATAAGGCCTTTTTTGTACATTTACAGATTGTGTGCTTCTAATTTAGATCAAAAAGTCTTACTTACCTTCTATCTAACTTTACAGCAGATGGCAGAAATTCCTTAAAAACAATCGCCCTATAGATCTACCTTTTTGATAATAAAAAAAATAACACAATTTCATGAATCAGTTCTTTATTAAGTCATAAAACATTTACTTTATCAACGATTAATTCAAGGAAATAAAACGAGATTCAACAGTCTTGATAAAAGAAATAAACAGATGATTGGCGTTCTTGTTTCACATATTGTTTTGTACATAATCTTTAAAATTTTATAAAAATAAATGCTAATGTATTTTGTGTGTCAATCTTTGATATAAAAATAATTTTTATACACACATTCTGTGAAACTTTGAATGTCTTTATATACAGATTAACTTTTAAAAATTTGTGTCAAAACAAGGAAACTGAAATTCAACAGAAATTAATACGGAATTAATCTGGTAGCATTCTTTGGTATAAATTCAAAACTACACGATATCAAACGATGTATTACACAGAACAAATAGATGTGCCCACAAACACACAAATAAGTCACATATAGTTCAATAAAGTGATTTAAAATTAAAATATTACAGTATTAAAGGACATAAAAACTACAGAAAATAGTTGAAATATAGGTCGTATTTTACTAAACTATTTTCTGTCACATATTCGAAAGTTTACCACCGTTCATATACATATAACATAAGCGCTGAATTCTTTCAGTGCTTCTGTACAAAACCGTTATCACACCAAGTAATACTAAACTGGTAAGGGACAACAAATTTGATTATTATAATTCCAAATTAAACCAACCAGTGAATTATAAGTTTCATCGAAAAACCTCGCTGGTATTATTTGAACAATATCTCTTTCAAAGTAAGCACAATTTTCAATGCTATGTGCAAAATTTTCACTTACTAGTTCACTGTACTGCTTCCAAATAACCGACAATACTTCTTTTACTTGTTTTAAAGATTTATCTTTACATTTGTACAGAATAATGAGGCCATTTCCAAAATAAACCTTTTCAAAAGCATAAAACATAATATACAACAATCCAACTAGGAAGTGCGTGTGGAACGGTACGTTTATAAAAATCATATTCAAGGCTCTGTCTAAGGAGTTGTACACTCTCTCGAATAAACTTTTTTGAAACTCGTGATACCAACACAAGGGGAAATCTCTTGCATTAATGATTTCATTACTGTTTTTAAGACAATTTAAGGTAAGGTTATATAACCCGAATGAATATCTGCCGACGCCAAGAGACACTTTTTGTAAATTATCTTTCTGCGTAAACTTTGAATTTTGCACTACTTTTATTCGCTTGCCGATTTTGATGTCAATTATATCGATTGTTAATTTATACTTTACTAAGTTTTCCGTAAGAACGCAAATATACCCTTTATTCTTGTGGACGGAATGTACCCGCCAATTATCACCGACACTGATGTTCGGTACGATCTTTTTGTCATTTGGAATCCACTTCGGTTTATATAGAAACATGTAATACTGAGCTACAGAAGTCTTGAGCAAGTAAATTTTATTGGATTGAGATTTTATTCTGTTTTCAAAAAAATAAATGTTGTCTAATATAGTACAGACTTGTTTGGTCATAAAAAAATCTACACACCTGAAGATTTCATCCATGAAACCATCTGGTAATTCTAACAGCGAAAACATGGAATGTAAGGAGAAAATCGTGGAGTTATTGTAAACCGACATTAATTCAGGCCAAATGCTGGACACAACGTTGAAACCCTTAAAGTTTGTGTTGATAACGTATACCTCAGAGTTCCCACTTTTCGATGAGCACGGTTTGAAGACTGACACCTTTTCAAAGAGGCAGTTCAACAAGAACATTAAATTTATTGTAGTGTCTTCAAACATGGTGAATATTTTCAGAACAAATGTGCCCCCTGAAAGAAATATATTTTTTATTCCGCCATCCTGAAGAATTCACAAAATTTTCAAAAATGGCATGTGAAATAGACGAACGATCGGACAAGTTAAAAAATTTCAATTTCTTTGAACACAACGGAAAATAAAAGTTCCACATTATGAATAAACATCATGTACTTACCTATTTGTAAAACTGCCAATGCGCTGAGGGTTTCGCAGAAATGAAGAAATTCTACGTGTCTTTCTTGTTCTCCAGGGTCCTTCATACAATCCACACTGCCATCTGCAGTTACTAAATCAACCTACAAATTATAAACTACTGGAAAATAGAATCTTTAGCTAATTTTGAATTTACCTTATTATCTTTATAGATTTGAACTAAATCACAGTGGTTGTAGAATTTTGTGATATCCCCAGTGAAATCTAACCCAAAATACCAATTTGGGAGTGTATATCTTATAAGTCTATCGTCGGGGATCATTTGTGACAACTCGTTTCCTTCATAATTGGGATTTAAAGTATTTGCTGTCCAATTCCACTGGAAATTGTTATATGACTATATCGTGATATACGAAGTAAATTATTAAATCTACCTGAATACCTGGATGGTTCAATACCAAATAATGATTGAGGGCGCATACGAAGGCACCAGGAGCTTCACATAAATGAAGACTCTTAAATTTTCCACTAAGTGCTGCATTTTGAGGAACAATAGGGAACTGGCCCAGTATTTCATAAAATTTGCACCAAGCCTGAAATAAATGACCTATAAACGATCAGCAAAATATGTACCTATGCACACGTAACCGTTACCTGTGTTAGCAGTTCCGGTTGAACATCTTCGGATAGTTTTTTCATAACGAACCCAGATGGGTCTCTATGAGCTGTATGTTTCGACCACACTTTTAACTTATACTTCCCTAATAAACTTTTAACTTCGTTCAGTTTGATTTTCTTATTCTGCAGCTCCGGCACCAACCACTTTTCACGGCATGCAAAGGCTTTCTTTGGAAGGGTGTATCGTTCATTATTTTTAAAATGATGTATCTTTTTGAAATAGTTTTCGTATTCAATCATATTCTGCGCTTCAAAAAATTTATTTAAAACGTAGAATCACAGATAACGGATGAACGCACAATAAAAGGAAGACGACCTAACCTCACAGTTTACCAGTATTAAAAATCAAGCTCAATAAATCCTTTACAGTCACCATAAGAAATGAAATAAAAAGTGGTGACTACATAAATAAATTCTTTTACAGGGACGTGTGATTTATAACAGTTTAAATTTTTAGCCTTATTATTTACGTATTATTAGCCGCTAAGCCGCTTTCCTAGATTATATACTTAAGAGCCGCTTTCGTTTTGACTAGTATCATTTATCTAGGGTTTTGACAAAGGTAGGAGCTCCGCGCTGAGCTGACTTCTAATTAGAAGTCTGTGGTTCAGAGTAATTTCGAGCTAGAGAATGCTTCTTGAATACGCCCAAAGTAGTAGGTAGGAATACGCAAATTTTATACATTTGAACTACCCAAGATGAAATGATACAAGGTTGTCTCAAGAAGAGGCTAATGTTATAATTACATTTAATGTATTTAATTTTATAAATACCTACTAATAGACAACTTTCTTGTGTTTTTAGAAGACAATATATAAGAGAAATTACAACTTATGGAATGGAATTTCAACTGCAAAGAAAATGGAAAGGTTAATTTTTTTTATGTATGATTTATTTATGATGAAAGAATTATTTAAATCTGTAATTTTGTTTTGATTTTAATTTGAAATTTTTGTATATACGAAGTGAAAAATATTGTATTGGTTTGATGATATATGCCAACTTTTTAAATTTATAAACCGGTAAAGTAGTTAGGTATATCTAGAATTTCTAATCACAATTTTGTAATTTTTAATTTGTAACTTGACAGTTTAGTCGATGGATTTGGCAATATTAAAGGAATTACTCATAACAATGCAAAAGCATTAGCCATTTTTTACTCGAGTTGAGATTTCAGTTAAACTCACCAAGTTGACCAATGAGCATTCAGAACAGCTGAAATTAGGCAGTTTGTTCGTTATTGAGATGAAGTCAAAATGAAGAAAGAAAAAATATGGCTACCATTTTTGTGATGTAGTTAGTCTTGAAGTTATACGGTCAAGTAAACTTACCTTTTCGTTAACCTTGGCAATTTATACAACCAGTACAACAGTAATGCATTCGGACTAGTATTACTGCGGTACTGCAAGCTCAAAGATTTAAAAGAGCTCTATAGCAAATAAGCAACCAGTTTGCATATAGTTTGTCTAAATATGAATTAATGCACAAATAAAAGACTTTCCTCCATTCTATCGCAGATTTTCTTTAAAATCGAGTTAGTTTGAAACTCAAATTACTCTTTGTTGTAAAGAAATTTGTAAGTTCCCGCTTTTGAATAAGTAAATTACAAATTTCTGTACACCAAAAAGTAATATGAGTTTCAAACCAAGTCCATTTTATAGAAAATCTTCGTTAGAATGGGGGAAAGTCCGTTATTTACGCATTAATTTGTATTTAAACAAACTGTGTAATAAAATCTATATAAATGTATTGCTGGTTGCCTATTTGCTATAGAGCCCTCTTAAAGGAAATTAAGAATGAAATTAATAAAATCAGTGTTATATTAAATTTTATATTGAGGTTAAATATTTGGTAACAGATAAATATAAAAAAATTAGTTATTAGTTGAAATTAATTTATAAAGTATTTTTTGTAGAGAAATTAACTGGAAGATCTAATGATGACCTATGAGTAAAGTTAGTCTTTTATTTACTGTTTTTTTCTGATAATACTGTGGAAAAATTACATTTTTCAAGTTACACTATAAAGACCTACTTTTAGCGATCAATAAATATAAAAAATTAAAATTGTCTTAGACTTACGAAAAAAATTAAATTACATAAATAAAAACTGGGTTACTGTTTAAAATATAAAAATTCGATACGCTACCATATATTTGCATATTAAAATTCACCTAATTACAAGTTCTTTATTGCATCGTAAAAAAGGTCGTAAAAGCTTAAAATGCTCGTTTTCACTTAAGTACTACAATAAAAAATTCTTCTTTTGACTAGTTAACAAAAATTCATTTAAATCTCGATCGACGAGCTACGAGATCCCCCTAGTGTAGGTGCCAAACATTCCGGCACCTTTTTCTCACTTTACACGCTCAGATCATCGAGCCGTCAATCGACGATGTCAGTGAACAAACATTCAAATATATTCGAGATTCTTATTTGGTCATTTTTAATTACCTAGAAATCTTACGTACGTTAGACATGGAATGGCACCAACATATTCATCCTACGTACTACCTGAAAAGAACAAACGTGGTGTTCCGCGGGGAACCCACCAAAGGCCACTTCTTCAATGTGAACGTCATAAATGATTTTTACAATCGTGGAAAGGCCACTTGTTTCTGAGCAAGCCGTAAATAAACTAACTACTACAAATTCAACGTCTCTCACCGAACAAACCTCGCTACTCTTACAAATTCTTAGATCTAAAGGAGCTCCTCGCGGTGCTGGCGCTGGTGGTGCTCCTAGTCGAGCTGGAAGTCGTCGGTTTCATGAAGCTCATCCCCTGAGGTCTCGGGGGCTTGTTGCTGATGTTGCTGCTGTTGGAAGTCGTCCTCCGCAGGTTGGTTTTGCCCGTCGAGTTTATAGACTTTGTACTGGGAGTGCGTTGGACGGGCCGGCTTAGGTTGCTGCTGGTATTTGGTTTGACGGGTAACTTCTTCACGGTGCTGGTCGACGTGGCGCTGTTTAGGGAGCTCCTGGAGCTGACGATGGAGTTTCTCGAGTTGGATTTTTGAATGCTGTTCGATTTCGCTGCGGGGGGTGCGGCGGGTTTCACGTCGGTCCTCCTTAGACTTTCCGACCTGCGAGGGATGACGCTTTTTTTGTTTAATGCGTTGTCTTGGGCGGGTTTTCTTAGGGAAGTGGTTCGTTCCAAACCCCGAGGCAGTTTTGGTGTAGTCAAGGTCTGAGATTTGGTGGATTTCGGGGAAGATCGGGCGGTTCTTGTGCTGGGCACAGGCGTTTCGCTGCTGGTGGTGGAATCAATCGTACCCTTGCTTTCTATAGAGAGTGCTCGGACAGGTTTGGTTTTGGTGAATTCTGCTATGACGATTTGCGAGGAATCCACCATGTCGGTTTCGTAGTTTCCCCCCGAGGACGCTCCTTGGCTGGGGGATTCCGACATGAGGCTCTGCGTCTCTTCAAAGCCTTCGTCGTTGTCGTGTTCTTTGGCCTTGCGGGAGGGAATGTCGATTTTGCTAGATTTCACCTGAAAATTTAACAAATTACAATTTTGTTTATTGAGCCTCCATTTTTTTTTTTGGCTTGAATGTGACAATTCAGAACAACAAAATTTGAAAAGGTTGAAACTGCAATGAAATAACAATAAAAAAAACAAGAGATGACCTTGACCAAATAACCTTGAACATTAAGAGGGCTCTATAGCAACTAGGCAACCAGCATTACATTTTTATAGATTTTAGTACACAGTTTGTCTAAATATGAATCAATGCACAAATAACAGACTTTCCTCCATTCTAACACAGATTTTCTATGAAATGGACTAAGTTTGAAACTCAAATTACGTTTTCGTGTAAAGAAATTTGTAATTTGCCGCTTTTGAATCAGTAAATTACAAATTTCTTTACACCAAAAAGTTATTTGACTTTCAAACCTAGTCCATTTTATAGAAAATCTGCGCTAAAATGGAGGAAAGTCCGTTATTTGTGCATTAATTCATATTTAGACAAACTGTGATAAAACCTATAAAAATGTATTGCTGGTTGTCTAGTTGCTATAGCGCCTTCTTAATTTAAAAAATAAATCAACGTAAACGTAAATTTGTTCGCTCCTTTAGAATCCGGGGACAAAAACTGTATTACCAATTAAAAAAAAACAAGAGTGACTTACAAATAACGTTTGTCGAATGAGCTAACTTCGTCGTGGGGCTGTAAAATGAATAACCACGAAATGGAATTACCTTTGTCTTTTCCGGTGCTATGTAAGTCCTCGATACATTCATATTGTCGCTGTTCAACTCCAAACTACTCAGCCCGACATCGCTATCATTGTGGTGCCCCCTTTCGTTCCTATCTTGCTCGCTCTGCATCTTCAGCTTCTCCTGCCACGCCTTCAACCGAATCTCCTTGTCCCCCTCGGACTCAACGTCCACCGGTTGGGAAATCTCTATCTGAGTCGGTGATTTTACCGCTAGAGCCTCTGCCGAAATTTCGGACGGCGAGGAAGCCTCGTTGCTTTCTTGGCTCCGTTTGTACCTTCTCGTACGCCTTGCCGCCGAGTACCTATCGAATTGGCCGTCCCCCAAGGAAGAGTTGATCTCGGGCTCCTCCGGACTCAGAACCGCCTCCCTGTTGGCCCTGCCTAAGCGTCTACTACACGGGCTGGGCTGGACGGGCTCTCTTTTGTCCACGGGAGTGGGAGTGAAGATTTTCCTGGTCGCCGGAGGGGTTTCTATGTTGTCCTGGTCTATTTCCACTTTGTTATTGCTGATGGAGTCGATGCTTTGCTGGGAGTCCCTCATCCTTCTAGGTACGAAGGTCAGATTGGACTTTCTCTCGCCGTTCGGCGACGGTAGAGGATCGCCCGGCTTACGAATGTAAAGGGTAAGTTTGTCGGTCGGCGGTCTCTCCCCCAGGGAAGTTATGAAGCCCTTGCGGTCCAGGTCCTTGTTGTCTTCCTCAATGGAGTGCAGGGTGTTGTCCGAGCGGTGGACGCGAGGTAGGGTGTGTCGACCTAGGTAGTTGTCGTCTTTTGTTTCTTCTGTGCTGTTGGATACGTTGAGGTTGGATTTGCGCCAAGCCGATTTGTCTTTAATTTGCGGTTGTACTTCTGCAAGTTATAAATGTAAATGCAAATGAACGTTTTTTGCTATCGACGTTTATACCTTCTACAGCTTCCATCGCTCCGACCACGTCCATCTTGTCTATGGTGCTGGAGGGTTTCCAGTCTGGGAATACTTTCCTGTAGTTCGACTGGCTGCCGCTGTAGACCTGTTTTCCTTCCGGTAAGGTGTCCAGGGTGCTGCTCCTCTCACTCTCTAAATAAACAATAATAATAATTAGTATATTATCACAGCCTGTAAGGCGATTTATTTGAATATGACAAAAATAGAATGTACGGGTGTTCTCGGTGTCTTCAACAAAAATGGGACAGGATACAAAGTAACAAACTTCAACGATAAACGCCGACAACAATAACGGTTTTTATTTTGACGTTTCTATCTTCCACATTTGCTCACACCATGTTTGGACTAAAAATGCTCGTTTTATACAGAGTGATTCAGAACTTATCCAAAAGAAAGATTTTGATTGTACAGTGGACTCCTACAAATACAATTTTGTAAAAAAAAAACAAAATGGGCAGTTCGAAAATGATTTAAAAATACACTTCTGTAAGCATACTATCGGCGACCCATCCACCATCAACTCAAGTTGCTATACATGAAATAGTCCAATTAAATGGGCCTTTAAATCGCAATTTGATCAACTAAAAGCCATTTTTGACTCTTGAAAAACTAATGTAAACACTATCACAAAATGTTTATTTCAGTATTAGGAATTGCCTGAGGCCACGTGGATAGAGACCTGGACAGTACACAATGCAAATGACACTACAGACTACAGTAGGCCAGCAATGTAAGGGTCGAAAATACTACAACCTCAATAATTTTTTTTTTTGGAAACTATAAGGATTTTACATATTATTTTTTTACAATATTAACTCCATTTTTCATGACGCATCTACATATTCCTAAATTTTTTGGGAGAAGTATATACACTTTTTCATGTTCATAAGGTCGAAAAAAAGGTATTACAAAAATCAGTAAATTAACAAATGTGCAAGAACTTAATTGAAAAAATCAACAGGGTAGTTGTCTCTATAACAATGGCTACAAAATAGGCGATTTCATAAAAATTAATTTTTTTTTAGAACTATATAAACTGTAAATTAACACTTGCAAGAAAATTGTTTTTTCTGTACAAATTACAGACGTTTAAAATCATGTTAAAATTGAAATTTGTACACATGATCAAGAACGCACTGTGACGTCATTTAGTGCAACTGAGAAGTAAACTGCTGCCCAGTCTACAATTCCCACGTAAACAAGACGGAACCTAATTCAAAGAAAAATTTAAAAAAATATATGCAAGTTGCCCAGAGGCATATTTATTAGAAATGTTCAAATGGAAATAAAATGTTCGGATACGCGTTAACAACTGTCCCGTTGCTCATGAATTATGTTTGCGGGATTGTTGATGGCTTGCACTAACTCTTGATCAATAGTAAGAGCGCTTTATAGCAAATAGGCAACCAGCAATTCATTTTTATAGATTTTGTTACAGTATGTCTAAATATGAATTAATGCACAAGCAACAGACTTTCCTCCATTCTAACGCAGATTTTCTATAAAATGGAGTTAGTTTGACACTCAAATTACTTTTTGGTGTAAAGAAATTTGTAATTTGCCGCTTTCAAATAAGTAAATTACAAATTTCTTTACACCAAAAAGTAATTTGAGTTTCAAACTAACTCCATTTTATAGAAAATTTGAGTTGAAATGGGGGAAAGTGTTATTTATGCATTAATTAATATTTAGACAAACTGTGTAATAAAATCTACAAATATGTATTTCTGTCATAATAATTGAAATTATTCATTATCGACCACGTACATCGGGGTACTAAACACACTGAACATAAAAGTTAGAGCAAATAATAAAAATATCCAGTATGGCATCTGTAAGAGTTGCTTTTTCAATGTTTTTTACATCGACAGGGACTGTGGAGCAGACAATCGCTAACCGTGAATTCCTAAACTGAATTGCAGAAGATATTTAACTGTTTTTGACTTTTTGTCAACTTCAGGAACTTGGTTTTTACAATTAACGTGTTTTTTCGTAACACTTCATTATACAAAAATATTAGAATGCGTTAGAATGGAGGAAAGTCTGTTATTCATGCATTGGTTCATATTTAGACAAACTGTGTAATAAAATCAATAAAAATGTATTGCTGGTTGCCTATTTGCTATAGAACCCTATTAAAACAAGATTACACAAATCGTACAAAAAAAAAGACAAGACAAAATATAAAGAGGATTTAAAATTAAAAAAAAATAAAATTAATGAGCTCGGACTGGCTTGAAATTTTACACGATAGATTAATCTACCTTTAAACTCTCGATGAGTTCGAATAAATCACCCTGTACCTTGTGAAAAATTAACATTACACTTACCCGAATCCATTTCGAAGGACCTCCTATTGGTCAGCCTCCTAGCCTGGCGCCTCTGCTCGTCGCTAGTCTGATCGCTTTCGTTCGCCTGCAACCATGACTCAATCTTCTGCCTCCACTCCTTAGGCTTCGTTTCTTCCTCGGGTGCAGACAGAATCGGTTTGCTTTCGGTTAAGGGAGACGGTGACGAGGGACGCTCCCTTTCCGACGAGAAATCGGCGGTCAGCAAAGCCGGTCGCTTCCTCGGACCGCTCCCTCTCGCTTTTCTCGCCCAGGAACGATCTGGAAAAGGGTTTTCGAAGAGTTAAGCAGAGAAGAAAATCGCGCAGAATATACGAACCTAGGCTACCCCAAGATTTTCTCTCTCGGTTGTTGTCGTTCCCGGAAGCCCTCAGGAAATCCATCAAATTTCCTTCGTCGTCTTCGGACAGGACGCGGCTCCTTCGCCTTCGCAGACTTCCGTTGGGAGTTATGTCTGAAAAATAAAAGGAATGCTAAAAATTGCTACAAAAAACGTTATAAATTTTGTGATCCTTACCGGGTGATCGTTCTTCTTTTCCCGTCCCGTCTCCGTTGCCGTTGAAAGAGCCCAGTCCACGTCTGGAAAGACAAGGCGATCCAGTGAGGGAAACCTCGTCCTCGGAGAGACCACTGCCGTTCGTAGACTTCCGACCCTAAAAGTCGCACCCGTCAAGGCCAATAATAATAAAAATCGCAAGTTACATACCTTTTTCAAGGGGAAAGTCCTGGTGTCGTAAATTTGCATGTCTATACAGAAACCGTCCGAGTCGGGAGCGCCCGCTAAGCTTTCCACTGGAAAACGTAAAAATAAACACCGTGTAACTTCCAAGACGAGCACGTACTTACTTTGTCGTCTTTTAGTCGCCAGTAACTCCTCCCGTTGCCTTCGTCTTTCGTTGGCTTGCTCCTCTTGGATCCTCCTCCGCTCGTTCTCGGAGACCGCCTGCTTAAACTTGCAGTAAAACCCGTGAAATATCCTGAAGCATTCCTCCAATTTGAAGGAATTGACGTCTTCGCAGAAAAAGTCGGACAGTTCCCTACGGACGTGGTCCAGTTCGCCCAGGTTCCTTTGTAGGTTCGCCACCTCCCTCTCCGCCATCTAAAAACAAATGCAAAATGATTTTTCCATAAATTTCGATGTAGGTGTTCGGTACCTGCAAGAAAACGACCATCTGCTCTTTTATTTCAGGCTCGGTCGTGGGAAGATCTATCTGCTTCTTCACTTTCTTTATCCTCACGTCTAGGGCGTTTATTTCGTTGTGTAACTGTTCCACAGTAGTCCTGCAAAAAACGTTTTAAATTTAAGGAAATTTCAAGAAATGGAAGAATGTATTTGTTTATTATGTAAATTTACGTACTTCGCTGCATCCTCCAAGACGCTAATGTTGTCGGTGAAGGAAAGAAGCTTCTTATTTTTCTTCTCGGCTTGCTGAAAGATTCACAGTTTTTTTTATCAATTCAAATAATCGCTTAATAACTTACCAGTGCTACGAAATGTATCAAATTCATGTTGGGCTTGTTGGCCCTTATGTCGGTGATTTTTTGTAAAGACGTCAATTTTACACCTGCGGCGTTTCCAGCATAACCTCCCTAAAAAAAATCAGGGTTAAGACTATACAGAAATTGTAAGGTGGTACTGAAAAATCATAAATTGCTGTTGATAACCAGAAATTTACAATTACTGTAATTCTACAGACACTAAATGTAAATAAACTGCATCTAGCAACTGTAAATTGGCATTAACAATTGCAACTATAAACTGACCACTTATCCGATGTAAATTTATCTTAAGGAGTATTGTAAATTTACAGTCAATGTAATTTTACGGATACTAACTGCAAAACAGCTTCAAATTGAGAATTTGTTCTAATGTAAAATTACATTAATAATGAAAATTTACAATTATTGTAATTTAATAATGCAAATTTACAGTACATGTAACTATATGAATAGTAACTGTAAATATATAAACATATATAAACTTTTAACAACTTCAAAAACTTGGCAAATTGAGAATTTGTACTAATGTAAAATTACATTAATAAAATTTACAATTATTGTAATTCTACAGATCCCAAGTGCAAATAAACTGTTCAATTGCATATTGGCATTAACAACTATATCCATAAATTGAGAATTTGTTCTTTGTAATTAATGTAATTTTACAAATATAAATAAAACATAACTTTTAACAACTGTAAATCGACAGATAAATACTGCAAATAACTAATTTACAGTTAATGTAATTATACGAATGTTAACTGTAAATAAATATATGAACCATTAACAGATTTAAATTTAAAACTATATATCGGATCTATAATTAATCAACTGCAATTATAAATTGACAATTTGTCCTAATGTAAAATTACATTATTAATAATAAAAATTTTCAAATATTGTATTGTATTCAATTTTCAATAATGCAAATTTATAGTTTATGTAACTTTATGAATACTAACCGTAAATAAATATATAAACTTTTAACAACTTCAAAAACTTGATAAATTGAGTATGTCCTAATGTAAAATTACATTAATTAAATTTACAATTACTGTAACTGTACAGGTCCCAAGTGCCAATAAACTGTTATTAATTGTAAATTGGCATTAACAACTAAGACCATAAACTGACAATTTGTTCTTTGTAATTAATGTAATTTTACAAATAAAAATAGAAAATAAAGTTATAAGTAATGATGCAAATTTGCAGTTAATGTAATTATATCAACATTAACTGTAAATAAATATATAAACCATTAACGGATTTAAATTTAGAACTATGTACTAGATCTGTAATTAACCAACTGCAATTATAAATCGGCAATTTGTCCTAATGTAAAATTACATTATTAATAATTGAAATTTACAATTATTGAAATTTAATAATGCAATTTACAGTTTACGTAAATATATAAACTTTTAACAACTCTACAAACTTGACAAATTGAAAATTTGTCCTAATGTTAAATTACATTAATTAATAATGCAAATACACAGTTCATATAATTTTACAAGCACCAACTGTAAATAGACAGTTAACAACTTCAAATTAACTGTTGCATATTGGATTTGAAATTAACATATGACACTATAAACTGCAGGTGTATCCTCTGTAAATTTACATTAATTAATATTGTAAATTTATAGTTACTGTAATTTTACAGATACTAACTAACTTACTACTGTAATTTTACAGATACTAACTGTAACTGTAACTGCAAATATAATGCGACAATTTGACCGAATGTAAAATTTCATTAATTACATTTACATTTACTCTAATTCTACAGATCCTAAGTGAAAATAAACTGTTATCAGTTGTACATTGGCATTAACAACAACCATAACTTGACAATTTGCTCCTTGTAATTAATGTAATTTTACACATGTAAATAGAAAATAAACTTTTAACGACTGTAAATTGACAGTAAATATTGGATGTACCAATAACAACTGCAATTATAAATTGATCATTTATCTACTGCAAACATATTTTAATTAATTAATAATGATGTAAATTTACAGTTAATGTAAGTATACAAATATTAACTGTAAATATATATAAACCATTAATGGATTTAAATTTAAAATTATATACCAGATCTGTAATTAACCAATTGCAGTTATAAATTGGCAATTTGTCCTAATGTAAAATTACATTATTAATAATGAAAATTTATATTTATTGTAATTTAATAATGCAAATTTACAGTTTATGTGACTTTATGAATACTAACTGTAAATAAATATATCAACTTTTAACAACTTCAAAACTTGACAGATTGAGAATTTGTCTTAATGTAAAATTACATTAATTAAATTTACAATTACTGTAATTCTACAAATCCTAAGTGCAAATAAACTGTTATCAACTGTAAATTGAAACTATAAATTGAAGATGTATCCTCTGTAAATTTACATTAATTGATAATGTAAATTTATAGTTAATGTAATTTTACAGACACAAACTGTAAATAAATTAGTAACAGCTGTAAATTTAGAAACATACTGGATATGGCATTAACAACTATGACTGTAAATTCACAATTTGTTCTCTGTAAATTTACAATAGTCAATAAATCGTAAAATTACTATTAAAATATGTGAAGATAAACTTACAGAATTTAAGAAGTTTCCAGCTATGAGTATCATGTACAAAACGTCCTGTAGGGGTTTATTGGTCATCAAATCTAAAAAAAATTACATTAACTCACCCCGCTTAGGAAAGACAATTATTAGAGTGTACCTTGAGCAGCTATGATCATTGAATTTATGCTAGGTTCGAGGTAACCCATATTCGAAGCAAATTCCTCTTTGAGGAGCATGCTTTCTATCCTTAGTTTGTAGCTAAAAACAAATTGATAAGATTTTAACAAACGTGTAACTTCGATCGTATAGTCACTTACTTTGGTAGATTCGTCAGTTGGATTAAAAATTTCTCAGCGTTCCCCAGTTTGTTAAAATCTCCGTCGAAGGATTTGAGCATGTCCAGTTCGTCCACTTCGGGCAAGAGTTTAAGGAGGCCCTTGAGTTTCTCCGTGCCAATCTCGTCATGTTCGCCGTTTCGAATTAGTTGAACGATGTCTTCATTTGAGCTAAAAGAAAAATATATTAGCGTTAAATACTCAGATTGAATTGATTGAATTGTCATTACCTTCTAAATTGTTTCAGGAAGATATTCACGTTCAAGCTTCTTTTACCGTCGAGTAAAGTTATCTGCAAAGACAAATTATTTAAACGGGTGTAAATTTTGGTGTGACTAAACTCACTTCCGAAGTGTCTTTTCTCATCCGTCTCTCAACGTTATCACTCGGATCCCTGTTTCCCAACTTCGGAGACGAATGGGCGGAAGGTGGCGCCTGCTGACAGAACAGCCCTTCCATTTCCGACCAGTCCATGTCGGCTATCGGCGAGTCCTGATGGGTGTACGCCACCTGGGTCCAGATGTTGTTCTTCCCTATTACCTAAACGAGGAACACCCTGTAGAACGACACCAACAACACACCTCACCCGTCTTACCCTGTTATTGGGTATCTTGTTCCAGTTGATGGTCTTCATCTTGCTTTTCGGTGCCGGTATTTCCTGCTGGGGTAACTTTTCTATCACGACGTCGGGTTCCGCGTGGTGGACGGCGGGTGTTTTCGACTTATGCTGGGGTGGGGGCGGCGCGGGAACGGGAGGGGGTATACAGGGGGGCGCGGGAATGCTCGGGGGCGGCGGAGGGGGCGGAGGTAGAGCAGGACCTAAAAATATTGATACTGTAACGATAAAAATTTTTAACGTACCGTCTTCCTTTTTATTTCATCATTTCGTCTTTGTGCAACAGAATATTTTCAATTACGGGACAAGGCAAATAGAAAAAGTACAAATTGGCGTGGAACATACTTAAAATAGAAAAATAAAGTGTGACATGTGTGAAAAATAAAGCGTGACAAGTGTGACGTGACAAAAGTAGCGTAAGAATGAAGTTTACTCCGCGTCTAAAATAGAATATAGACCATGCGACAGGTGGGGGGGGGTATGCAATTCCATGGGCGTATCATTTTAGGGGTTCCAAAAATTGTGCCTTCATAGGCAAAGACAGCCTAGGTATTTTATAATTCTGCAGAATGGAAGCTTGTTGTCAATTCAGTTATTCTTACCTAGGGGTGGCGGCGGAGGCGGCCCAGGTGTCGGACTCAGCGGTATGTTGTTCAGCGACTGCCTCCTACTGGGACTAGACTCGACCTTGTGCTGACAGTGGCAGAAGAACTTGGACTGTGTCGCACTGGGAGACCTCAGCAACCTGGTAACGTCTTCTCTGTTCTCGAGAAGGGTAGCCCTGTGGACCAGCCTCTCTGCCGTGTCCCAGATGATGTCACTGATGGGTTCCTTGGGGTCTATCCTGAGTAGATGCTGCAGTATGCTCAGGAAAGGAATCTCCTGGGGGGACTCCGCCACCTAATAGGAATTTAAATTGTAAAAGGCAATGAAGAGAAAACAATATCGGTTTATTCCGAAACAATACGGTTTCATCGATTTTTACCTGTTTGAGGATGGCGTAAAAAACGTCCAGGGGAGAATTAAGGTCGACGCCGTGAGGTCCATGTTGGCTCTGGGCGTCGTCGCTTTCTCGTTGCTCGTCGAAGACGTCCAGTTGGACTGCAAGCTCGGGCTCTGCCTCGGCACATTTTCTAAATATATTGTTGTTATTATTAATATTTGCAATTAATTATATTTTCTAAGTAGTTTAGTGATGTCATAGAATTAGGCTAAGCTGAAATATATAGGGTGTATCATGAGAAAGTGAAGCAAAAATAAACAAAAAATTTAATTGGTCAGAATATTCACCATTATCAGAATATAAGACTTCAAATTTTATAAAAACTTGTCTTTTAAAATGATAATATTGTGAGAATCAACTCAGTAGACTCAATATTGAGTTTTATATGTAATATTTAGCAAATAGCTAGGATCGTTTGTCAACCGAACCACCAGACATATACCGGAATAGAATTTATCAGACCTCATCTGAATGCCATAGGTGAGGCAAATGATAAATGATTCAGCTAGTGCGAGTCTATAGTCTCTACTCATCTCTGAGATGTATATTATTTATATATTTCAAGAACGCGTAGAAATGTATTAAAAAAATTGGTACAGTGTCTATAGTTAGTACCTACAAAACCATAGTAATTATTCTGCATTTTGATCTTCAATGCCGAAAATATAAAGAGTCGCCCTTTGTTTAAAGTTAATTGCTGTGTCTATGACTTTTGAAATCTTTTTGTACACTTTGTTGAAACAAACAACAATTTCAAACAACTTTTTTAGAATAAATTCTATAGGAAACTAGATAAGAATTTTAATTAATAGTTTCACAGAAAGAATTAACAAAATTTAGACAAAGTTGATATACAAAGACAATAACAAATAGACATAATTAAACATAGAAAAATATGTAAATATGTACCTATATGTTATAGCACAAAATAAATTAAAAGAACCACAGAAAACTATAATGGTTAAGCCTTTACAAAGCTTAAAGTGTCTGCCATCAAATTGCAAATGTAACCATATATGGCAATATAAACATTTTATCATTTTAGTGCGGGGTTGCCAAGTTATGTAGAAAATTCTTCGAATTTTGAAAAAAACATGACCTCAAAGAAGTTGTATTAACTTTCAGCTACTAACACTTGGAATAAAATAATTAGACAGGGTTATAGGCAAATGTTAGACAAAGGCTCCTATATTAGCTAATATCGCTATTTTATACAGAGCATTTTTTATAATACGATCATTTTTAGAAAGTTTAAACTTGATTTTCTAAAATTTTTCAAATGGAACACCCTGTATTAATTGTTCTATTTTATTCATATATCGGTCCACTTCAACCTTTATTAAGTATGTTCTACAGTTAAAGTTGTTAGTTTTTAATATATAGCAACATTTCTGAAAAAACTAAATTTTTATTATTTTATGGAATACCACAAATAAATATTAAATAATAAAATGAACTCAAAATGGAATGATAAATTATTATGAACTGACAAGTTGACACAATGTGACAGTTTTTTCCAAAGCCATTTCGTGCGACCGAAACTAATAAAAATTTGTTTTTTCCAGAAATGTTGCTATATCTTAAAAACTAACAACTATAGGTGCAGAACATACTTAATAAATGTTGAAGTGGATTTGTGTGATTTGTGAATAAAATAGAACAATAAAATACAGGGTGTTCCATTTGAAAAATTTTAGAAAATCAGGTTTGAACTTTCTTAAAATGATCGTATTATAAAAAATGCCCTGTATAAAATATCGATATTAGCTAATATAGGAGCATTTGTTTAACATTTGCCTATAGCTCTGTCAAATATTTTTGCTCCAAGTGTTGGTAGTTGAAAGTTAATACAACTTCTTCGAGGTCATGTTTTTTCCAAAATTCGAAGAATTTTCTATGGAACTTGGCAACTCCGCACTAAAATGTTAAACTGTTTATATTGCCATATATATAGAATTTTCTCAGAAATCCATATGTTTAAAAATATACAGGGTGTTCCATTCAAAAAATTGTAATATTTGTCGTTTCCTGTTTTTACTCATCGCCCTGTGTATTTCAACTTAATTTTGTCCTTTAGGTTTTTTGACTATGTAAAACTTTTATATAAACATTTTTTCAGTATTATGAATAACAACGGAGTTATTTTACTTTCTCACACTAATGGCCCACCCTGTATATTTATTAATGCAATAACAGTGTCAAACCATTTTCGTATATTAGTATTATTTTATATATTAATTCCGTTTAAATTTAGTTATTTCCTTGTGTTACTTTATTAATTAAAATTTAAAAAAGGAAGTTATTATTACGAAATTTACTCTAAAATCTAAGCAAATACGATAATTTAACAATAAAATTCTTCCAGAATGAGATGCTTCAATAAATAATTTAAAAAATATGCCATAGGCATAAAAGTTATGTTTTAAGCAAAAGTTTCATCCACCCCACATCTACGGCACTGGTAACTGGAATACAGAGTTACTACTATGGTTTGCTATGTTATTTTTAAAGAAGAGAAAACTACGCTGCTATGAAACTTAAGTTTTTTTAATAGTTATCAGGAAAAACTGGCACTGTATGGTATGCTTTAAATTTAATTTAATTTAATTTTTTAGAAAGAGTACAAAATTTTAAACTACATAGAGGTGCCAAGAAAAATATTTTACAATAATTAATCATCAAAAATATATAATAGAAATAACGATAATGACAAAATACTCATATTTTTTCATGAATTGGTTTCATAAATATGCCAATTAAAACTATAGGCACGGAAGTTAAGTTTTATGCAATGTGGAATGATTTTGTCTAAGTTTGCGGCATAGTTTACGTTTTTTTCTTATTTTTGTCACCTGTGGAAATTTTTTATTTTTCAAATTTTCTTGGGAAAACGGTTACATAATTCAGTGGGGCTCAGCTAAATAGCATTAAAAGAAAATTAAAAATGTCCATGATTATTTTGTTGAACGGTGAAAAATGTGTTTCATATAAATCTGTGACCTTGGACCCTTGTTCGCTACAAATGCTAAAATACAAAGGAAGTAATAATAGAATAAACACAATTTATGATATCTTTAACTACGCAAATAAGCATAAGCAAACAATTTTAAACTGTTAAATAATTAAAAACGGAGTCATTATCAGTTGAAGACAAAAACATAGATTTCCGAAATGTTAACAACTTTTGGTGTTTTTTCTATCTGTCTGCTTTCTTCAGTATGGGATTTTTGGTTAGGCAAATCTGTTTTTATAAAAAATAACCCTTGATTGATACTTTTGTCGCAAAGGTTTTTTATTACATTTATTTTTTAATTTTTTCTTCACTGGTGGCAAAGTATCCAATAAATAAGAAAAAAGGGGATGTTCATCCTTAAACAGAAGTATCAGTCTATCTCTGGGGTTGCAGCCCGCAGTTTTTTCAAAAATTTTGAAGGCTTGTACCTTGGAACTCCCATATGCAAAGTTGAACAAAGGAATAATTTAAAGTATAAAATTATATTTTTAGTTTATCTTGTTACACTATTCCAATGGCGTCTTAGGTAATCGCCCTGTATATAATCAGAATAAATATTTTTAATCGCACACTTCCCTTTCTATGATCTATTTTTTCCATTTAATTAGTTTAATCAACGTCGTCGAAACAAACTGCATTTATTTTTATTCAATGACTTAATTCATGCAATTTAATACTACTTCTCAATTAAATGTAACAGTACNCTTTTGGTGTTTTTTCTATCTGTCTGCTTTCTTCAGTATGGGATTTTTGGTTAGGCAAATCTGTTTTTATAAAAAATAACCCTTGATTGATACTTTTGTCGCAAAGGTTTTTTATTACATTTATTTTTTAATTTTTTCTTCACTGGTGGCAAAGTATCCAATAAATAAGAAAAAAGGGGATGTTCATCCTTAAACAGAAGTATCAGTCTATCTCTGGGGTTGCAGCCCGCAGTTTTTTCAAAAATTTTGAAGGCTTGTACCTTGGAACTCCCATATGCAAAGTTGAACAAAGGAATAATTTAAAGTATAAAATTATATTTTTAGTTTATCTTGTTACACTATTCCAATGGCGTCTTAGGTAATCGCCCTGTATATAATCAGAATAAATATTTTTAATCGCACACTTCCCTTTCTATGATCTATTTTTTCCATTTAATTAGTTTAATCAACGTCGTCGAAACAAACTGCATTTATTTTTATTCAATGACTTAATTCATGCAATTTAATACTACTTCTCAATTAAATGTAACAGTACCCCTTCGTATAAAGTTATTTATAACTTCTTATAAATATATAGTAGACTGACAATTTATATTTATATTTCCAGAAAACTAATACTTTATTTTACACACGTTACACTCATTCAGGCTTATTAAAAATAAAAACAAAGAAATACTTAACCTGCCAAGCGCCGTAATATTTTACTTGGCCCCAAACAAGTACAACAGTCGCGGATCCGCGAGTAAATTTACTTAGGGAATATCTAAATTTGCGCGCAGTTATTCACCTTTAGTTCTGCTGAGTGTGTACATACCTGAGGTTGTTGAGCACAGGAAGTAGATGACATCCTGGAACAGAGACATCGGATGAATACGAATTGGTGTGGCTGTGATTGTTTTTATTCAAACAAGGATGGGTGACGAGTGGTCACGACTTTAAAAAATGCATTTTAAGGAGGCGCTAGAATGTCCTAATGCGTGGCTATTACATAAACTAGTTGCAAAAATTAAAGGATAAAAATAAATTCTAAATTTTTAAGTGATTTTCAAAAGGTGGTAACTTGGCTAAAAATGATCGTAGAGCAATCAAAAGAGAGCAAATTAGAGCTTGAAGTTTCTAGTTTCAGAATCTGAAAGTCAAAAATTTTTATAGTTGACCACCTTTAAGGAAAAGTTTTCAAAATGTTTGCTTCCCATTCAAAAGATCGACGGATTCAATAATTTTTTTTTGGCAATCCCACCTGTCAGCTCTTTTAGTTTGATCCATCCTCTTTAATTTGAGCTGTTCAAAAGCTTTGTACGGTGATGTGTCGTTTAGTTATCGTCATTCAAAGCAAAAATGTCCTTTTTAGCTTTGATAGTAAATTACTCAGGAACAGATGATCGTACAGAAGTATCTCCTATAAGAAATTCTTATCGTATTTTAGACAAAAAAAAAAAATTCTATGCAAGAGACCTAAAAAAAGTTGCCAGCACTATGTAGTTGTGCTCGAGCATACAAGGTACGTTTTAAACTAGACGGGATTTTTCAAAAACAGGTATTTTTAGTGAGGTCATATACATAGTGTCCCGGTATTTGATACGAAAAAGTCGAGCACATATAGATGAGATCAAAGTAATATCAGTTCTTCATATAAATTTTTTTCATACGGGCCTTCGTTAACAAGTTACGGGCCTTCAAAGGTGAAAACTAAAAAGTTATTTTTATTTAGTCTCTCAACTATTAACTTCAGCATGATGCAAATTTGGTGATCGATAACACATGCGTAGAGCTTGTTTTTGATGTTGTAAGTGAAACGTCATTATGCCCAGAACGCCAGGGACGGACTATGCCCAATGGTGAACAACCCAGAATTTTTCCATAGATGACGATCGCAATCTGCCTGCATCAAAAATAAGTTCCCTGAAGAATTTGCCAAAAACTTTTGAAAACGCATCATTTTGAAGGGAATTTCATTAGATTTTTTGGTACTGCAATTTTCTTTGCCTACTTCTACTACTAAAAAACAAATTAGAGTAAAGAAAATAAAAAAATCAAAAAATCTTATGTTTTTCTTTTTTAAAAATTGTTTATTTTGCATAAAATTTTTCTTTTAAATTTTCTAAATAAGCTATTTCGACGAGAAATTCAATTCTCTACAAAATTTTTCCTATGAACTATACTGAAATTTTGCTTCGTTTTCGTGCTATCCATATTTAAAAAACGGCAAAAGTGCATTTTCACCCCTACCTTCAATTTCAACCCTCTAATTTAATAGCACCCCGCGTTTTTTCATTTTTAATGACTCTTCCATATATCAGTCAATTTTCATCCAAAAATATTTTACAACCTCTTGTTTTGAAGGAAATTTTATCTACTTTATTTCTATGAAGCTATGCCTATAACTATCTTTACTAAAAAAAAACTAGAGGCAAAAAAGTAAAAAAAAAAATCAGAAAATCGATTTTTTTTTTGCTTTTTTCAAATTGTTTATTAACGATTCTTTTGCATAAAATGTTCACTTATAATCTCCATAGTGCTTGAATTATTTCCGGCCATTAATTCAAGGACGTGCGGGATTCGGTAAGACAATTTTACAATCAAAATTTATTTAAAAAATTTGACATGTTTCATTTTGAAACTTAGTTCGCCAAATAAAGTTGGCTTGACAGGTAGACGTTGTTTTGTGGTGCATGACATATTTTTATCTTCTTAAACGTCACATAATTTAATCGCATTTCAAGCGTTTTTTTAAATTCAAAAATGGCTCGTTTTGGAAATGAAAATTCCGAAAACATCCCAAAATACAAAGAAGTCGAAATTAAGCGTATGGAGGCAGTTTCTAGTTTTTTTTGTACGGAAAGATCCTACAATGTTGAAGATTCAACAATATCGATGACTACGTTGGCATCAATTTTTGAAGATTATGCGTTTAACATGAAAAAGAAAAATTCTGATTATTTTTGAATTCAAATATTTACCTTTGCAATAAAATTCATTTAGTATTACTAAATAGAAAGAAAGTAAGTTTTTGTAGAAAAGCGATGTCTATGGTAGTTTATCAAAGATTCTTATTAAAACATAAAAAACACATTCCTTGCACTTTAGTAATAAAAAAGGCATTTAATTTTTAAGTTCAAATATTTATTTTTGCAGTACAATTCACATAGTATTACTAAAATAGAAGGAAAGTAAGTTTTTGTAGAAATGCGATGTCTATGACAGATTATTAATGATCCTTATTAAACATAAAAAATCAATGATTCTTATTAAAACATAAGAAAACACATTACATTCACTTTAGTAATAAAAAAGGCATTTAATTTTTGAATTCAGATATTTATGTTTGCAGTATAATTCACTTAGTATTACTAAAATTTTTTTATAAAAGTATCAGAACACAGCGATCACAAACGATGTTTTTTAAATTTTTTTTTTTTTTTTAGGTAGTACAAGTTTCACAATTTTATTATAAAGGCTGAACTATATGGGACAATCGTCAAAGTTTTTTCTTGGGTTGGCCGTGTCACGACGTACAAATTGAGGAATTGGTTGACCGAATCGAAAGATAAAATAAACCTGACACAGGAATTTTAATTTAATTAATGGTAGGTCGTGACAATTTTTTGTTTGTACAGATTATCGATGATTATTTTCGAAAATTGGGTCAAGTTCTACGGCTGAAATGTATTTACGTATGAAACATACAAGGTGGTCGCGAGAATAAGTGTCACTTGAAACTTGAAATATGGAAACATACAGGGTGATTCACATAAACTCCCAAACCCGATGACTTGGTAATGGAATGATTTTTTTTTGATTCTGCATAAGCCAGTTGATAAAGCCTTTCGATGACGTCAATCAAGACTTCAAGTGGATTTTTTCCAAAGCAAATTGTGGATGGCGCTAGTGTTTAAAGAAAATTTTCGATGGCAGGAACTTCGATGATAAATTTTAACATTTTAGTTTAAGTTTTATTCTTTGAAATCGTAACCCAATGCATTTTTGAGCCTAGAAGAACCACTGTTTTTTCAAAATTCAAAAAATTACTTTCCAAAGTAGGAGCTGTTGAAAAATTTCCCTTGACAGAGACACCATATACAATTTGCTTTTGAATTGTACTTGTCTCAATTGACTTCCTTGTCTTGAAAAGCTCAATCTATTGGCTTTCGCAGATCAAGTCGTCCGGGAAATTTTACGCGAATCACCGCGTATAATTAAATCAGACATTCTGTATTCTTAAAACACTTCGTTTTTAATACGCTGTTAGCGTTTCATTCTCTATTATGCATTGTTGACGATTGTGACCAACGGATAAAGCGCCAATAATTGCGAATACCCCAAACAATGTGTCCGATTCATTGAACGCGAGTGTGCAGCGAATTCGTGCGCGTCCAGGCGAACGCCTAGTCGTCGACTTGGAAGCAGATAACTAAGCGGGCGTTCGATTGGAAAAATTGAAAGTGCCGTCATATACGGACGCGTGAGTAATCGAAAAGCGCGATAAATATTCATCCAACTCGGGTACAATCAATCACTCACGAAATTGAATGAAAAAAATACAAGGACCTGAAGAAATTAATGAGACATAATAGTGACTTTAATAATTTACATTTAGATTAAAGTAAGGATAAACTGTTGCATTTAAAATGCGGCAAATGTTGAACAAGTTGATTATCGTAATCGATGAATGAACTCACCTATGAATTCGTTTCTCAGACGGGCCCTGTCGGTCAACCTTTGGGTGGATATTATAAGGCAATTGATGAATGCGACTAGGGCTGTTTGGTACTCGACCACCGTTGCTCTGTCTAGTTCCTGGACTATCACGCTCAGTCTATATCTCTCACCTTTCAGTTTCTAAAAAAAAAGATAAACAAATAACATTATCAACGCAAGCTCTAGCCCTCAAGGCTCATTTATATAATATTGTGTACTCCTTATGTTTTTACTATTCTATATTTAAAAAAATAGCCAATACCAAAGTTTTGGTACGTTTTCTTGCGGTATGAAAGAAGTACATAAATACAGTTGTTCTAATTCTTTGGTTGAAGTTTGTGTAATTTTGATTTAAGTATACCCCACAGAAAAGAGAACAAGTTACTGAACATTTTATTTGTTTATTTAATTTATTTATGACTTCGTTTAAGAAGTTAAAAAACCTTCTATATAAATATGTACAGGGTGTCTCAAACTCGATAGTATGGGCCTACTACGAGGATAAAAAAAATTTAAAAAATTATAAATATTTTAACAAGTGGTCCTATCCGCGAGATTATTGTAAAATTGTCTAAAGGAAGATAATGCATGACATCTCTCATCTCGTGAGTTAAAAAAAAATATTAGCCAATTTTTCTATTTAAACAAATAAGTGAGGAAAACAGTTTTTTCACTTTGCAGGGAAAACCATCAATTTGAGCGAAAAATTACTCTGAGACAGCTTGTAGTGAGTAAAATTATCTACAAAATGAGACTTGTTAAATTAAAATCGGTTAATAAACAAAAAAGTTATTGCAGAAAAACAAGAAAAGTGCCCATTTTTTAATTTGTTTATAACTATCGCATTTATTGTTAAAATTTTATAAAACCTATGACAAGTTGAGGGTTTTGTCATACTTTAAAAGTGTGCCAAAAGTGGGCGCTGTAAGTGCAATAGTTTTCGCACAATTCTATTTGTTTATAACGGAAGCTCCAAAAGTTATGAACTTTAAGCCTCTGTACAGGCGTTAATTTTCAACCAAACATGATTCTGAAAGCGTCATTGTAACCTTAAACACGTAATTAACCGACCTATTAAAAAATATCACCGTTTTTTGACACTAACATTCTCAAATTGTGCATTAAAAAAACGTGCGTTTTTCGCTTATAAACAATTTGAATAATATTGTTGCTATTTATGCTACCTCACCGAGAATAGATACAATGGATAGCTGGCAAAAAAATCCATTTTTTTAAAGCACCCTCTACGACCAACAGGAGCCAAGATAAGATTTTTTTTTAATCGTAGGGCAATTGTTTATAAATTACAGTCTGTTTTCAATGTGACGCTCAGGCAAAGACTCCAAATTGTGAATTTTGTAGTCATGATACCCATCGGTCTTTAAACTTCGTTGAACGGCTGATTTATCTAAATTCAATTCCCGGCTAGTCTACCGTATAGAATTTCGTGGATTTTGTTCGAAATACTGTAACAGTCTAGCTGTATTAACATTGTTTCTTACCCGTCGGTCACTTATTTGATTTTTCCGAACAGAAAATGCACATTAATTTCGTCGCAAGATCGGCTCCAGTCTTGTAAAGGTTCTATGATCAGGAATGAGGCGTTCTGGATACCTTTCTCGATATAACTGTACAGCTCTTCTTGATTTTTTGTATGACTCGCCGTAAATTAGCAACATATCAACATTTTCTGAATGAGAAAACATTTTGTAAGCACAAAAGTTGTACGTTTGACGTTCGTATTGAGTAACGACAAGTATTTTGTGACATTTATGCACTTTAAACAACGAACATTCAATTATTTTCCAACGATTACTTGATCCTTCCACCGCTAAAGTGATTTTTAGGCGGTACTTCTTTTGAGACTCTTTAGAACGGTATTGCTTATAACTTTTGAACGGGAAGTAATACAGAAAAATTTCTCTAATACAAGTTTATAAGAAAAAAAAAGCTTTTTAACAGGAAAAAAATTTGGGTATATTTCTGGAAAAAATATAATTGATGACGTCATTATCCGTTTCTGTCAAATCCCAAAGATAATATTTTCGATTGAAAATGGAGCTTACCTAATCCCATTTAACACCTCCTGTCCCAAATTTTATTTAAATATTTTGTATCTTCACAGTAGGCCCATACTATCGAGTTTGAGAAGAATATCAGAGATAATGGCAAGGTAATTTTCGTATGACCGCCCTGTATACTGAGACTCCGATTCCCCTCAAATCAAATCACGAGGAGCGACAGACGAACGATCTCAATGCCGTAGAAATAAACAAGTTGACAATTTTCGAGAACTAGCGTTGAAGGCCGTCAGAGTTTCTAATTATTTTCTTTGTCGATTGTCGTTTTCCCGCTAATTAATTTTTGCAATGGCGTTTGGTCACGGGTTACATTAAAAATATGTTAATCGGGAGAAAGTAGGCGAGCGAAACATCAAAGTCGCTATCGTTACCTAGTGGGTACTGTTTTATAGCCGTTTAATAAGCGTTTCAATTATTATAAATCGTAAAACCGCTACCGATGGTTATCTTGTGTTACGCCTATTCATATATTACAGATTACAGCAGTCTGAACACTTTTAGCCATACTTAACCTGCCTATTAATTAAATAAACGGTCGTCGTTAGCTTATTGTTTAATTTTGTTTGTATATTGTACCGAAATAAGTGTAATACAGGGTGATCCACCGAAGTGGGATTCTTCTGTAACTCTGTAACTGTAAAATTTATAATATATAGAGTTTATTAAATGTACATGGTGTGTAAAACTTACCATTCTCGATATAATAAATTGTTTTTTGAAAAAAATCACGATTTCAGCTCTCTAAATGAGAGCTAGATAGCGTGTAAACCGTAAGAGTTAGAAACCTGCAATTTTCACAGTTTGGCATAAATTACTTTATACTGAGGCCTACATTTAATAATCTTACGAGTTGAAAAACTTTTTTTTTTCAAATGGATTGACCCGTATTAATTGTTATGGATGAATGCAAAATTGAATGCCCTTTCGACTGATACAAGGTTGTCCATACTTATCTCTAACAGTTTTCCAGTAAAATCAGATTCTTTTTTAAAATCCGAAAAAGTAGCTATGTAACAGCGTCAACAAGGGCTTGCAATTGTATTATTATAACGTCGATACATGTTCAAATTGATGCGTGCTGTAAATTTTGCAATATCTCGGCTTTTATTCATCGTAGAAACTTATTTTTTTTTTAAACTGGGGTAGCTCGACGAAAAAATAACAATGGGCATTTACGAATTCGTAGAATAGCCCTGAACCCCAGAAAAAATGTAACTTTTATACTTAAAATTTTTTTAATTTACAAAAATGTCACAACAATTATTGTTTTTTAATGCACAATTTGAGAATGTTAATGTCAAAAAAACGGTGATATTTTTTAATAGGTCGCTTAATTGCGTCTTTAAGATTACAATGACGCTTTCAGAATCATGTTTGATTGAAAATTAACGCCTGTACAGAGGCTTAAAGTTCATAACTTTTGGAGCCTCCGCTATAAACAAATAGAATTGTGCGAAAACTATTGCACCTACAGCGCCCACTTTTGGCACACTTTTAAAGTATGACAAAACCCTCAACTTGTCATAGGTTTTATAAAATTTTAACAATAAATGCGATAGTTATAAACAAATTAAAAAATGGGCACTTTTCTTGTTTTTTTGCAATAACTTTTTTGTTTATTAACCGATTTTAATTTAACAAGTCTCATTTTGTAGATAATTTTACTCCCTATAAGCTGTCTGTGAGTCACATTTCGCTAAAATTGATGGTTTTCCCTGCAAAGTGAAAAAACTGTTTTCCTCACTTATTTGTTTAAATAGAAAACTTAGCTAATAAAAGTTTTTGACTCAAGAGATGAGAGATGTCTTGTATTATGTTCCTTTAGACAATTTTACAATAATCTCGCGGATAGGACTTTTTTCGAGTAAAAATTTAATTTGTTTGGTCTAACTAAGCCTCATTTAGAGAGCTGAAATTGTGATTTTTTTCAAAAACAACTGATTATCTCGAAATGGGTAAGTTTTAAACACCATGTACCAAAACTCTACCTAATATGAACCGAGAAATTCAAAAACGCAATAATATACAGGGTGTTCCATTTAAAATAACAAAGTTATGTAGCGCCCACGTGAAATGGAACACCCTGTACAGCTAAAAATATTTTCTTTACATTGCCCACGTGATTCCAGGCAACTTTTATTAAAACCATTTTTTTAATAAGTTTCACAATTGCAGAGTTGCAGAAGAATTCCTCTTAAGTGCAACACCCAGTATATACAGTACATACAGAGTAAACTAAATAAGTTTATTTTTAAAGTATCCTTGACTTGCCCTTGTTGTTCTCGGGTTAAGCTCTGTGGGGGCGGACTCGCTATTAGAACCTATAGGCCAGCCTGATGTTCATCTTTCAGTGTATATCTAATAGATAGTCATAACAATTGCAATATCGACTTTGTCTCACCCTGTACGAGACCCTCGCGAATCCACTCCAACGAGCACGATTGTGAAAAAGTCATTGTGCATTGTTATTAATATTAAGCACTCGTATAAATACGCGTCCTTTATTATCGAAACCGTTCACCGTCGAGCTGTGTTTGCTTACTCGGATTGCAATAATTGATTTTTGCCTTATTCGTCCGACTTTTAACCTAAATTCGACGTATTTGTTTATTTACTTTTGCCTGCGTGCGTGTTCGGATTTACATAAAGTCGAGGGGCTCTCGTTTTCACACACAGTAATTTTGCAATGGATCGGTAAATACGATAACGAAAATAATAACAACGATGATTGTTTTGTAAGCTCTAGCAAAAACCGGACTGCTAACAGGTGTGCGAGGAAAAGTTGGAGAAAAATAATACCGCTATTTGTTTAAAGAGAAATGCTACGGATACTTTTATGGTATTCGGCTGTCTGGCATTAGTTCTGTTTCGGAGGCAAACATTGTAATATTCAGCAACTAAATCAAAAATATAACCAGGAAAAATTAAAAAACTACATTAACACTTAAAAATACATCATCATTTTGCAGCATATAGCAAGTAGAAATACACCAGGAAAATTAGCGAAAATAAAAGAGAAACTCGAAAAAAGTCCTATCCGCGAGATTATTGTAAAATTGTCTAAAGGAACATAATACAAGACATCTCTCATCTCGTGAGTCAAAAACTTTTATTAGTTAACTTTTCTATTTAAACAAATAAGTGAGGAAAACAGTTTTTTCACTTTGCAGGGAAAACCATCAATTTTAGCGAAAAGTGACTC